CACCACCACCACCATCATCATCATCATCATCATCATCATCATCATCATCATCATCCTCATCATCAGCATCATCATCACCACAATCATCATCACCATCCTCATCATCCTCAGCATCACCGCCACCATCATCAGCACCACCACCATCAGCATATCATCATCAGCATCAGCATCAGCCTCAGCATAATCACCCCCATCCTCATCCTCATCATCCACTTGATCCTCCTCGTCATCATCAGCAGTATGGTCATCAGCACGATCAGCAGCATCATCAGAATCATCATCATCATCATCATGATCATCATCCTCATCATCATCATCATCATCATCATCATCATCATCATGACCATCATCATCATCACCATCGTCATCATCATCAGCATCAGCAGCATCATCACAGTCATCACAATAATCAGGCAGCAGCATCATCCTCATCCGCGTCCTCATCATCAGAATGGCCATCAGCATCGTCACCACCACCATCACCACCACCACCACCACCACCACCACCACCATCACCACCACCACCACCACCATCAGCATCAGCATCAGCATCATTACCATCACCACCACCACCACCACCATCACCACCACCATCACCACCACCACCACCATCACCACCACCACCACCACCATCAGCATCAGCACAGCATCATCTTCAGCATCATCACAATCAGCATCATCAGCATCATCACCCTCCTCATCATCATCACCCTGATCAGGATCATGATCAGCGTGATGATGATGATCATCATCATCATCATCATCATCATCATCATCATCATCATCATCGTCAGTATCATCTTCATCATGCTGATCATCCTGATCATCGTCGCCATCATCATAAATACCACCACCACCATCTGCATCATCAATACCATCATCTTCATCATCATCAACATCCTCATCCTCAGCATCATGAACATCCCCATCATCAGCATCAGCATCAGCACCAGCCTCATCATCACAGTCATCACCACCATCACCATCATCATAATAATCACAACCATAATCATCATCATCATCACCACCATCATCACCAACAGACATCAGCATCACCGCCAACACCACCATCATCACCACCACCACCACCACAATCACCATCACAGTATCATCATCACCACCACCATCATCATCATCGTCATCATCATCATCATTATCCTCATCATCCTCATCATCAGCATCATCCTCATCATACTCCTCATGTTCATCATCAGCATCATCATCATCATCATGATCACCATCATCGTCATCATCACCATCATCATCATCATCATCCTCATCATCATCATCATCATCATCCTCATCATCCTCATCATCGGCATCAGCGGCATCAGCGGCATCAGCCTCAACATCATTATCACCATCATCACCATCATCACCACCATTATCATCACCATCAGCATCATCACCACCACCACCACCACCATCACCACCACCATCGTCATCACCATCATCATCATCATGATCAGCAACCTCATCCTCATCTCCATCATCGTCATCATCATCATCATCATCATCATCCTCAGAATCATCATCATCATCCTCATCATCATCATCATCGTCATCATGGTCATCATCCTCATCATCATCATCACCATCAGCATCAGCAGCATCATCATCCTCATCATCATACCACAACCATCAGCAGCATCAGCATCATCATCATGATCAGCATGCTCATCATCCTCATCATCAGCATAATCTTATTCATCATCAGCAGCAACATCATCATAATCATACTCCGCATCAACCTCTTTAACATCACCATCAGCATCACCATCCTCATCATCATCATCATCATCATCATCATCATCATCATACTCATCATCATCATCACCACCATCATCAACACCAGCATCCTTACCACCACCACCATCACCACTACCAACACCATCAGCATCAGCGTATCATCAGCATTATCGCCACCATCATCATAATCATCGGCAGCATCTTCATCATCAGCCGCATCGTACTCGTCATCCTCATCATCATCATTATCATCATGATCACCATCATCATCCTCGTCAGCATCATCATGATCAGCATGTCCTCATCATCATGATCATCATCCTCATCATCCGCGCCAGCATCATGACCATCATCGTCACCTTCATCATCATCGTCATCATCATCAGCATCAGCATCAACATCGGCATCCACATCCCCAGCATCACCATCATCATAATAACCACCATCATCATCGCCCTCATCATCATCACAACCATCAGCATCATCACCATCAGCATCACCAGCACCACCACCACCACCACCAGAACCACCATCAGCATCATCACCACCACCATCATCACCACCATCATCATCAGCATGATCATCATCCTCATCATCTTCAGTATCCTCACCATCATCATATTCATCATAATCGCCATCATCATCCCCATCATCATCACCACCAGCACCATCCTCATCATCATCAGCATAATTATCATCATCATGATCATCATCATCATCATCCTCGTCAGCATCATCGTGATCAGCATATTCATATCATCATCGTGATCCATCCTCATCATCCTCATCATCATGATCATCATCATCGTCATCATCAGATTCACCATCATCATCATCATCGCCATCATCATCAACATCTTCACCATCGTCATCGTCATCATCCGCATCAACATCAGCATCAACATCACCATCCTTATGATTACCATCATCCTAATCACCAGCATCAGCATCGCCCTCGTCATCATCAACACCACCATCAGCATCCTCACCACCAGCATCACCACTACCACCACCATCATCACCACCACCAGAACCACCATCAGCATCAGCATATCAACATTACCATCACCACCATCATCGTCAGCATCATCACTATCCTCATCATCCTCAGGATCCTCATCATCCCCATCATCATCCTCATCATCATCGCCATCATCATCCCCATCATCATCATCATCATCATCATCAGCACCACCATCATCATCATCATCACCACCATCAGCATCCTCATGCGCATCATCCTCATCATCCTCACCATTCCCATTATCAGCATCACCACCACCATCACCAGCATCACCATCACCATCCTCCTTATCATACTCGTCATCATCAGCATCATCAGCACCACCATCAGCACCACCATCATCACAATAATCACCAGCATCATCATCCTCATCATCATCAGCATCATCGACACCATCAGCGTCATCAGCATCAGCATCATCACCACCATCATCACCACCAAAACCATCACCAGCATCAGCATATCATCATCATCATCATCATCATCATCATCATCATCATCATCATCACCACCATCATCACCACCATCAGCATCAGCAACATCATCCTCATCCTCATCATCCTCATTATCATCATCAGCATCGTCATCATCATCCTCAGCATCCTCATCATGACCATCATCATCATAATCAGCAGCATCAGCATCATCACCATCATCATCATCAGAATCGCCATCAGCATCACCAGCATCACAACCACCACAATCAGTATCAGCAGATCATCATCATCATCATCAGCATCAGTATCATCATCAGCATCATCATCACCATCATAATGATCATCATCATCATCATCATCATCCTCATCCTCATCCACATCATTCTCAATATTCTCATCATCCTCATCATCGTCATCATCGTCAGCATCCTCATCATCCTCATCCACATCATCCTCATCCTCATCATCCGCATCATCATCATCCCAATCATCGTCACCCTCATCATCATCATCATCATCAGCATCATCATCACCACCATCAGCATGCGCATCAGTCTCATCATCATCATCCTCATCATCATCAGCATCACCATCATCCTCATCATCCTCATCATCACCACCACCATCATCATCGTCATCATCGTCAGCATCCTCATCATCCTCATCCTCATCATCCTCATCCTCATCATCCGCATCATCATCATCCCAATCATCCTCATCCTCATCATCCTCATCCTCATCATCACCATCATCAGCATCAGCATCACCATCATCATCATCATCATCATCATCATCCTCCTCATCCTCATCATCCTCATCATCCTCATCCTCATCATCCTCATCACCATCATCAGCATCAGCATCATCATCATCATCCTCATCATCAGCATGATCATCATCCTCATCATCATCCTGATCCTCATCATCCTCATCCTCATCATCCTCATCATCATCAGCATCATCATCATCCTCCTCAGCATGATCAGCATCCTCATCATCAGAATCCTCATCATCATCCTCATAATCACCAGCATCAGCATCAACATCAGCATCAACATCATGATCATCATCATATTATAAGCATCGACATCATCATCAACCTCCTCATCATCACCACCACCATCATCATGAAACCTCAGCATCAGCATCATCACCACGACCACCATCATGATCACCACCACCACCATCAGCATCATCATCATCACCACCACCAGAGCCACTATCAGCATATCATCATCCCCATCATCGTCATCCTCATCATCATCTGCATCAGCATCATCATCATCATCATCATCATCATGATCAGCATTATCATCATCATCGTGATCATCATCAGCATCATCATCCCCATCATCCTCATCATGCTCATCATCATCATCACCACCACCACCGCCATCAGCATCATCATCATCATCATCATCGTCATCATCAGCAGCAGCATCATCATCACCATCATCAGCATCAGCATCAGCATCAGCATCAACATCAGCATAATCGTCACCATTGCCGCCATCATCATAATGATCACCATCAGCACCATCATCATCACCATCATCACAACCATCAGTATCATCAACACCACCACCACCATTACCACCACCACCATCAGCATATCAGCATCACCACCATCATCGTCATCCTCATCATCCTCATCATCCTCACCATCATCATCCTCATCCTCATCATCATCATCATCATCAGCAGCAGCATCGCCATCATCATCATCAGCAGCATCATCAGCAGCAGCATCCTCATCATCATGGGCGTGCGCTGCGCCCGGCAGGCGCCGCCTCCCACAGCTCGTAGTCGTCGGCGGCGTCCTCGGCTGCGTCCCAGGACTCCTACGGGGTCGCCACGCTGCTTCGGAGCCCCCACCCTTTCGGCGCGGGCCGCGGCGCTCGGCCCACGCGGCGCCGGGGCCGCGCGGGGAGGAGAAGGAGGAGGAGGAGGAGGTAGAGTAGGAGGAGGAGGAGGAGGAGGAGGAGGAGGAGGAGGAGGAGTGGGTGTGCGCCCGAGCGGCGATTGGCCGGGACTGGTGCAACCCCCTTCCCCCGGCGAACAACCGATGCTCTGCTGGGCCCAGGCCCGAATGGCGGTTGCTCCCAGGGAATGGAGGACGAGGAGGAGGAGGAGGAGGAGAAGGAAGAGGAGGAGGAAGAGGACGAGGAGGAAGAGGACGAGGACGAGGAGGAGGAACTCCTGTAACTTCAGGAGGGAGAGGAAGAGGATGAGGAAGGCGGAGAGAGGGAGGAGGAGGAGGAGGAGGAGGAGAAGGAGGAGGAGAAGGAGGAGGAGGACGACGACGAGGAGGAGGAGATGAAGGAGGAGGAGGAGGAGGAAGGAGGCCCTCTCGCGTCGCAGACCCACTGGCATCGCGCGCGGCAGCCACTCCTTCAGCAGCTCGGCATAGGAGAACATGAGCTGAAGGTACCTCCGCTGGAGCGTGCGCTCGCGCGCGCTCGCGCGCTGGATGGGGCAGAAGAAGGGCGGGAAGGGCAGGCAGCGGCAGCGGCAGGATGACAGGGAGCACGAGGGGGAGGAGCACGAGGGGGAGGAGGAGGAGGAGGAGGAGGAGGAGGAGGAGGAGGAGATGGAGGAGGAACGAAGACTTGCGGGGGTCTGAAGCTCGACGTGAGAAAACATTGCGGCAATAAGATGTACATTGCGGGCTTTGCGAACATCCATATATGTTTACTAGAACCATCGCGCGCTTTGCGCGCGCTCAAGTCCTAGCTAGTTTCTTGGGGCCTCCTCGGAGCATCCTGGACTGCTTCTTGAAGTCGTCATGGGACCTTCTTACAATGTCTTCGGGAGCCCCATTAGAAAGAGTTTTGAAGCCTTTTGGGTGCCGTCTTGGGGCCTCTTGGAGCCTCTTTTGGGTTTCTTGGGGGGGCCTCTTGGGGGCCTCTCGGGGCCTCTTGGGGGCTTCCTACGGGCACCTTGGGGCCTCTGGGGGGGCATCCTGGGGCGGAGCGCTTGATTTTTCAGTTCGCGTTCCCTTTCTTGGGCCCCTATGGGGGCCTTCTTGGGGCCCTCTTGCGCCGTCTTGTGTGGCTCCGGGGCCGTCTCGGGGCTCTCTCCAGCCGTCTTGGGGCCCTCTTGGGGGCCTCTTGGGCCGTCTTGGAGCGGTTTTGGGAGCCTCTTGGGCGGCGCTTTAGCGCCAGACACGAAAGAGCACGAATGCAAAAAGATTGAAACAATGAAAATCAACGATTTCGCCCTCTCGGGGCGCTCCTGGGCGGCATCTTAAAGGCCTCTTGGGGCGTGTTGGGGGCCTCTGGGGCAGTTTAAAACGCATCGTGCGTCGCCGGAGACCCCTGGACGGCGTCTTGGGGGTGTCTCGAGACCGCCTGGGGCCGCCGGGATTGTTGTCTGAGGGCTCCCCACGGCGATTTTAGGCCTCCCAAAGGCGGGCCTGGGCTCTGGGCCCCACATTTGCGGTCGTTGTCCCGGCCCCCGGCCCCCGGACCCGGCCCCCCCGTTCGTTTATATTATATATATTATATATATATATATATATATATATATATAATATAGATATGCATATACATATACATATACACATACACATACATATACATATACCTATACATGTACATATACATATACATCTACACATACACATACATATACATATACATATACATATACATATACATATGCATATGCATATACATACACATATACATATACATATACATATACATATACATATACATATACATCTACATATACATATGCATATACATATACGTATACATATACATATACAAATACATATGCATATACATATACATATACATATACATATACATATACATATACATGTACATGCACATGTACATATACATATACATATACATGTACATATATGTATATATATATATATACATATATGTACATATACATAAACAAATACATATACATATACATTCACCTATACATATAAATATACATATACATATACATATACACATACATATACATATACATATACATATACATATACATATACATATACATGTACATGTACATATACATATGCATATGCATATGTATATACATATACATATACATACACACATATGTTTGTATATATGTGCATGTATGCACATATATATATGTATATAATACGCGCCGGCGCTGACGCCAAACGGCAGTCGGTCGGGATTGCGCGAGCGGTCGAACAACTCTGGCGGAGACGCAAGACTGGAGAAAAGAAAACCCGAACTGTCCAACCCAAAACACAGTCTAAGCTCCATGCCGTCTGGCCTGACCGCGCGCGGCACGGCGGGAAGCGGGCTCACCCCTACCAGGGGGCTCGGGGCGAATCCGGCCCGGCCGAATCTGCGTCTGTGTGTTGGCCCCGGGCCGCAGCCAACAAGGTCTGAAAGCCTCTCCTGGGAATCAGGCAGCGGATGGCCCCGGGGCCACGCGGGGAGGCGGGGTCGAGGTGCGACGACGCTTCGGCCGGGCAGGGTGGAGAAGATGAGGGATGGAGGACGACTACGAGGAATGTGCATTTTTGTTTGGCACCATCGCCCCGGGTTCGCCACCTCAGTCGTCCTGAGGCTGGAAGCCACAGCGGCCTCGCCGCGCCTTCACTTCCTCCCCCCGGGGCGGCACTGCTCGGCGAGGACTTGCGGTCGTCGTCATCGCCGGCTACTGCGCGCGCCGCAGCCGCGGCCCTACGCCGGCGCTTGACCTTCCCGCCTCCGCGGCGCACCTTCTTGGGTCTGTCGCCGTCGGGTTTGCTCTGGTCCTTGCTCTTGTTTTTGTCCTTGCCCTTGCCCGTCGCGGCCGCTGATTGCCTGCGAGAACCCATCGGTGCCACGTGGCCAGGGCGCTGCTGGAACGGACGCGGCAGAAATGGACGCCATCCTGACCCGTGGGCGGCGTCGTTGCCGCGCTACTTCTCCTGGTCCCACTGCTGCTCGCCGCGCCCCCCCTCCTGGCCCCACGGCAGCTCAGGCGGATGCGGCGGGGACCTCGGCGGGGGGGCACCGCGAGGGCGGGGCCGGCGCGCGCTCGACCCGCGGCAGCGGCAGAGCGTGGCGACCTCGGAGCCGGCGTGCGAGGGCCGCTCCTGCTGGAGGCCAGCCCTAGGGTCGCCTCGCCCGCGCGAAGGTGCGGATGCTGACCGTGGCCCGGCCAGGTGCCGAGGTCGACCAAATGCCACCACCTGCGGCATCCGAACGGCTCCTGAGGCGACCAGGCCGACCACACCTGAAACGACTGGGCGCTAGGCAGCACCATGGGCACATCGACGGCCACGTTGGCGTAGATCGGCCGCGCGTCGCTGACCCGCCCCACGGCGCGGCGAGCCCGGCGAATCACGGCAGCGCGCGCATCATCGGCCCCACGACCGCGCCACTGAACGGGCACTTCCACGACAACGCGTCTGGGACGGGGGGCGTTGAGGTGTCAACTCCCGAGGAACCTGTATACCTCTTCGCCACCTTCGCTGCACGGAGGCCGCTGCGTCGGCTCCTCGCCGAGTGAGGTTGCGGCACCTCCGGCGGAGCAGGCGCGCACAGAGGTTGAGCTGGCGCAGCCTTGCTGGTCGGCTGCGCGCGCGCGGGGCCAGACATCGCAGCGGCCGAGCGGCGCCGACGGGGCGACGGAGGGCGGCTTCGCGAACGAGCGGCGGCGGCAGCTCGATCCCGCAGGTGCACTCGCGGCACCAGCTGTCCTGCAACGATCGTCTGGGTATGCCCCTCCTCGACGAGCCTCTCCAAGCACCGACGAGCATCTGGTGTCGGCGGTGGCATTGCTGGCGGCATTCCTGGCGACCTCACTGCGATTGATGTGGGAAAAAACAAAACAAAAAAAAACGCAGATGCGTGTTTGTGTGTTTGGGGTGTGTGTTTCCCACAGATGCCCCAGGACCGCCGGGAAAGGTGGCGGACCGAGCACGCTCGCGGGGAGCCGCGCGGCCCCCGGGGGGCCCCGGGCGCCTCGCCCGAGGCCGGCGCCTCCGCGGGAGACTGGAGACAGCGTTGGCTCCGTCCTCGCAGGGCGCGGCGGCGGCATCGGAGGCCGAGAGGGCCTGGCCCTCGACTCTTTTGGTCTGCGGGTCGAGAGCGAGCCTCTCCCGGTTAAGAGCCGTAGGCGGGCCGCGCCAAGCACTATAATTGGGGAGACGGAGCACGGGCGGGCGGGGCCCCAGTAGGGGGCCACATGCGAACCCTACCCCACCCTCCCTCTCAGAAATCGGGGGGGGGGATAGGGGTAGGGTTCGCATGCGGCCCCCTACTCGGGCGGCCGGAGGGCGCGGGGTGCAGGCGGTGCTGAGGAGCTCGGCGGGGGGGGAGGAGGAGGAGGAGGAGGAGGAGGAGGAGGAGGAGGAGGAGGAGGAGGAGGAGGAGGAGGAGCTTGCACAGCAACAGCCCGGCCCTCGACGCGCGGCCGCGCGCGCGCGGCAGCGAGCGGCCGCGAGCGCGCAGCGGCGCGCAACGCGCGGCGCACGCGCGCGGGCCCGCCGCGGCGCGCGGGCCGGGCCGCGAGGCCCCACGCGCCAACCCCGGCGGGCGCACGGGTCTGCTCGCGAGGAAGGCGTCGGCGGGTCCCCCGACATCCTTCTCTGGCTACGGTCAAAACCCCGAATGAGGACGCGCGGTAAGGACGCAAGACCCGTGGAAGCCGAAGTTGGGATTTCTGGGGCGGCGGGCGACGAAAACCCCAAGGAGACGCAAGAGCAGGGAAGAGCAAGGACGCGAGGGTACCCTGAGCAAAGTCGCGCGTCCTTATCAGGGTTTTTGACTGTACCCTGTCTGATCCGAGGCCTCTTGCGCACCGTGCGTATACACACACACACACACACACACACGCACGCACGCACGCACGCACGCACGCACGCACACACGCACACACACACACACACACACACACACACACACACACACACACACACGCACATGCGATCGTATTGCGCATGCTTCTGCGCCAATAACCCCTCCAACAACTACGCCTGGAACGTCGCGCTGCAATCATACACCCAAACAGCGGCGCACACGACGGCGAACCTCCCGAACAAGATCTTCAAGATGTCGATGAGGACGGACAAGTGGCGTGGGAGGATGGAGCACGAAACAGTCCGCAAACTGATGATTTTGATCCAGTGGTGGTCCAGATTGAACTTGGGGGGAGGGGCCTCCCCAGACAAAAACCGCCTTTTGGAAAGAAGCCGCCCGCCATCCATGCAAATGTTGCAGACTTTTAGAACGAACGCACGCGGCACAAAGGCCAGAGCCCCATTTTGAAAAAAAAAAAAAAAAAAAAAAAAAAAAAAAAAAAAAAAAAAAAAAAAAAAAAAAAAAAAAAAAAAAAAAAAACTGTGCTCCATCCTTGGAACTGCTACGACATGTCAGCTTCGGGATCAAAAACGGCCCCGAAGACGGAGGCGAAATACCTGGCCCGCCTACCTGCAAGGACAAGTGGGATGGAGAGGGATGCTTGAGGGCCTCCTGATAGATGGGGTCGGAGGAGCGCGCCGCGTCGGCGACGTCAGCGATGCATCGCCGACGTCGGCGTGGAGAGAATCGGGCTCCACACCGAGCAGCATCGCCAATGCATCGGCGATGCGGCGCGATCCATCGAGACCATCGGTCCGGACCCCATCCGGGAGGCCCAGGATGCTCTTCGCCCACTCGGCGAGAGGACAGCCAGCCCGGCCAGGGCACTCGTACAGGTGCTCCGTGGCGCTCCACACGCCGCTGTTGAGGCCGCTGTTGCGCCTGCGCCCGTCAGGGGGGGGGGGGAGGGCTCGCCACCGCGCCGCCCCGCGGCCGCCCCGAGGTCGCGCCGCGGCACGTCGTGGGCGAACGACGTGTCCGTGTCCGAGGCCCCGCGGGCCAGGCCCCCGGGACGCGACCCCGCGGATGCGGGGCGCTTTTGGGGGCAAGTGCCCCGCGCGGGACGTGCGCGTGCGACCGCGCCTCCGGGGGGATCGCGCCCCCGGAGTCCAGACCGCGAGGGCGCGGGTGCGGACGTGCCCGCCGATCGTGAGCCCAGCCACCTCGTCGAAGCCATCCACTGAAGGGGCCCTGGGACACACAAGCAAATCCACAAAGTAAGATGATGTCCCATAGTTTCCCATATTTTCTGGGTTTTTTTCTTCCCGCCCAATTCCCATATGTTCCCATAGCTTCCTGGGGCTCGACGATGAATTGTGTCTGTGTGTTTCTTTCCCTCCTGATCCACGGCCGTCCGACACTGTGTGCTCATGTTCCTGCTGCTTCTACACGAGGGCAAGAGGAGGAGGAAACGACAGAAGACGAGGAGGCACTCAACCTCGAGGTCGAACCGAACCGCGGCGGAAGAGCAAGATAAGAGTGAGGCCACTGAGAGACTCCGGCCTGGACCGCTTTGCGCAGGGGGATATCAGCACGGGAGACAATATCAGTGGCCGGCGCACATCTTCTTGATGCGCGGCTCCTTCGTGGAAACAGCGCAGGTCCTGAACCTAGGAGTGAAATATCAAGATGCCACAGCATGCGTGTCCACTGAGAGAACTTAGAGAACCCAAAAACTAGAATAGAGCATCAAACAAACGGCATAACCGTACTTTCGGAGCTCCGCGCGGATTTCTTCATCCGCGCTGGACCCTTGTCCCAAGGCGCAACTGGAGACGCCGCCAGGGGAGGCTGTCGCCGATCCAAAAAATCCGCGCGGAGCTACGAAAGGTTCGTCGTCGTCGTCAGCCGCGGAGCTACGAAAGATTATGGTTATACCCTGCGTGCCGGGGGTAAAGAAAGGCGTGTGAAACATTTGGACGTCCCCCTCCTCCCGTTACCCCTCCCCCAGGGTCCAAAATCCGATTGGGCCCCCCCCCTCCGTGTGCGCACGAGCTCGTCAACGCGCCCAGGGGCCACAGGAGCCTCCAAAGAGCGCTGAGTCCCAAGACGACCCAAGAGGACCCAAACAGAGCGCCATGACAATCCAAGAGACCGTCGAGACGGCCTAGAATAGCCCCACGACGGTCCAAGAATTGCTTCGAGACGGCCCACGAGGCTCCCAAGATGGTCCAGGAGTGCTTGAAGAGGACCGCCGAAACGGCCCCAAGAAACAAGAATCGTCCAACTCCGCAAGCACAAAACGTATAGTTTTGGTACACTCGCCTATTTCGTCTTGGCAGCATCCAACACAACCAAAGGGGCCCCCAAGCTCCCCCCAAGACGGACCATGAGGCCCCTGAGCGAGCCCCGAGGCGGCCCAGAAGGGTCCCAAGACGGCCCAAGGGGCCCCCAAGACGGCCCAGAGAGGCCCACAAAGGCTTCAAGAGTGGCCCAAGAGGTCAAATACGCACTAACACCTGGAGTCGTTCCCCAAAAATGGCCCCAAGAGCCCCCCAAAGGCCCCCGAGGCGCCCCCAAGAGGCCCCGACAGGTCTCCAAGAGGCCTCCAAGAGAGCCCCCGAAAGCCTCTCAAGATGCCCCAAGCAGCCCCCCGATGCAACGAAGAGCCCTTCAAAATGCACCTGAGAAGCATCCCACGAGAGATTCACATGTCCTCATACCTGTACGATCACCCTTCGGGTCACCAGGATATTCGGGGGGGACCAGCGTCTCACTCAAGCTATCTTACCATCGATAGCATTACCGACAGCACTATCAATCTCACTACTGGCCCCAGGATCAATATCACGATCGATCGCACTATTTATGGCAAAAACCAACATCACGACCATTTTCACGATCGGCATCACTATCGATCACATTATCGATGTCGCCAGCAACCTCACTCGATCGATGTCACTCAACCGATATCATTTGATCGATATCACTGTCGGCATTCGTATGGAAACCTTAATCGATATAACTACCGATCCCACGATCGATACCACTATCAACCTCACAATCGATCTCGCGATCGATCTCACTAGCCCTCTCACTATTGATCTCACGGTCGATCTCACTATCGATTTCCGCACCGATCCCACGACCCAGCTCACGATCGGTCCCCCTATCGATCTCACTACGAGACACCGACGGGACACCGACAGGACACCGACGGGACACCACGGCTGGACACCACGGCGAGACACCCCCAGCCACGCCGGCCCCCTGAAGGAGGGGTCTTTGTCTTGACCCGCCCTAGCCACAGCGGAGTCGTTCCTCTCGTTGCTCTCGCCCACACACGCAGCCTCGGCTCGCCCACACGCACGATGCGAACCCGAAACCGAAACCGATTTCACGGCGGGGGCGTCCTTCCTGAAGGGGCTTTGCACTCGGGAAAGGGGCTTTTGCGGGGTCGCAAGTTTCGGTTCGTCTTCCTGGTTCGTTCCTCGCGCGTTTTTGCTGGACTCGTCTCGCGCGCAAGCGCCCTGTTCCTAGGGTCGGGGTCCAGCGTTGTCGCGAGCCCTGCGCTGCCGCTCTCGAAGCAGACCAACACCGCACGCTCCGCAGCAAACAACAAGCGTCAGCAGTAGGTTTGGCCGCGCACATCGCGGAGTTCCTTCCGCAGCTGCGTCACCGTCTACACCGTTTTCGGGCTGAGTTTAACGCGCCGGGGGTGTATTTGGCATGGCGTTCCAGCCCCCTGGCGGACCCTTCGGTGACCCTCTCGGATCTCAGCGGCGCGGCCTTGGCACGCATCTGCCCAGCCCTGGGCACTGCGTTCCTTGCACTGCGGCGGCGGTCCTCTCACACGTGGGGACATCAATCCCCCGAGTTCGCTGACTGGGCGACCCTTGCTCGCAAAGGCGCAATCCGGGTCGCGGAGTGCGACGCGTCCAACATGCATGGGTGGTCGCATCATTTGCGTTGGGACAGCCGCTTTGTCGCCGATACCTGGCCTGAGAATTTCGCAACCTGGGAGGCGCAACCCAACCCCTTGGAAATCATCTTGCCAAGAGTTGCAAATTGAAGTCCAGTTCCTTCTCGGGGAGTCCTCTCGCCTGAAGGGTTTGCGAGTTCTGTTCAGGCTCGACCAGTCCGCAGCAGCGCATCGCGCCAATGCGCGCCATGGGCGGATTCCCTTCCTCGAGTCCTTGGCGCATCGATTCGGACGTGCCGAGCGAGCGGCCCAACGCTGGGCACCGGCCACGCACATTCCTGGCAAGAGCAACGCGTCACTCGTTCCTGGCGCGAGGATCAGTTCACGCGGCGTTTCGAAAGGCCCTCTTTCAAGAAATCGGATCGAAATGCGGCGTTCACTTCACACTGAACACGTTCGCAGATAAACTCGGCAGAACGGCTCTCGCCCGCGAGTGGCAATTTCCAGAACTTCCCGCTTTCGATGCCGAGCTGCGCGGCCACGCAGCGTGGGCGCACCCACCACGCGCGTCTTTGAAGGAGACGTTTCAATGTTTGAATCCCGCCGTTGCTGATGACGCAAACCTGCGCGTCGTCATCTTGTGTCCCGACGATCCGGGGGCCCCGCGGTTCCGTCCGCAATTTCTCTCCAAGTGTCACACGGTCAGGTCGTGGCCCGCCCGATCTGACCTTTTCCGGCGAGCCGTCCGATCTGGGCCTGTCGAAATATCCAGCACCGGATTTTCCATACGTCGCACTTCCAAGTTGTCTTCCTAAGCGCCAGAAGCGCAAGCTCTGACAGAGCTGACTGAGTTTGGCACCTACCAAAACGCACGCACACACACACACACACACACACACACACACACACACACACACACACATACATACACACACACACACCGCATTACGTACACATCCTTCTCCTTCCCTCCCGCCCCCTTCTCCTGGCCCACCGCCCCTACCCGCTATTACGGTGTTTTTTTTTCCAGCGTGTTCCTGTCGGTCAACGGCCAGAACAGCGCCCTTGCTCAAATTCTCGATTATTCTGCCTCCCCCCCACTACTTCCCAAACTGCCCGCACCTTGCGGATGCCCCAAGAGGTTCTTATTTATCGAATGTCGGTTGGGCTGGTCAATCGGCGGACCTGCCGATCGACCGCCGCGCCGCCGGGGCGATGGCGACCGAGGACCGCGCCAAGGCCCTCATCGCCGAAGCGATCGCGGCCGCCTGCGCCCAGCAGGGTCCCATCCACACAGCGGCGCTCGCCGAGATCACCAAAGAGGTCGCCGTCGAAGGAACCGTCGGCGTCGCCGCCCATCGCGCCGTCGGAGAGGGCCTCTCGAGGGCAGCCCGGGCCATGGACTTCCAGGCCCAGGAAGACATGGAGCTCCCGTTCCGCAAGGTGTTGCGCGAGCTCGACCTTGACCAGATCAGGCGGGCGTGGTTTGCGATCATGGTTGACATCGACCAGGTAGAAGAGTCTGTCACCGACTCCCTCGCTGACCCAAAAGATCCCATGACCACCATTTACGCTTTGCACGCCGCTCACCCAGCTAGTTCGGAGCTCTCCGCGCTAGAAAACAGCGCAGCCTTGCGCCACGCGGCCCAGACCACTTGGAAGCAGCTGCGCTTCCCCGAACAGGGCGGGGGACCCGACCGGCTGCAGGTGCACTTGGGCGACCGCGCTGAGAGCAGCGACCAAGCTGTTCGCGCCTTGGGGCCCTTTTTGGCGCTGCGCCATTTGATCGAAAAGCACGACACGGTTCTAGCAAGCAAAAGAAAAAAACGACACTGGCGAAGCACACTGCCCAGAAGCTGGCTTTGATGCCGTACGTTTACGAATTCACTCAAAGTTTTAAGCAGCGATTCATAAAAACCATCTGCCGCGGTACCGCTCGACAGCGAGCGTCTGCTCCGTGATTTTGGAATCGACCTGATTGGGGGCCCCGTGGCTTCGGGGGCGACAGCTGCGACCACCC